GCCGTGGGGGCGATATAATGTGACGGTCAATCCCACTATTCGTTGGTAAAAGAGTAGCCCAAGAGTGGGTGGTGATGACTAGCTACCTTCCCTCTAGTCTTACACTGTTAAATTAGGGACGGCTAGCGCAGAGAGCCCTCGTGTAGCTTTGCGCGAAATTCAAAACAAACAAACAATCGTAGTTGTAAGGTGTTTATAACGAAGGTAACAAAAATAGTCTACAGAGACGTCAAACTAACTCTCCACTTCGATCAGTACTAGGTAAAAAAAAATCAAGATGTTTACATGTAAATATCCTAGTCTGGGTAGGTGTATGTACATATATTTGTGTGTGTATTATTGAAGATTATGATGATAAGATGGTTTGATCATATGCATGTACTATAAGAAAATTCAAGTTGTATAGATGAAGATGCTATGCGCATATTCTAAGAATAGAGAGGAATGGGGAAATAAAGACCTGGATGGAATAAAAGTTGGGGAATGGGCAAAGGACCGAACGCAGTAGAGAGCCTTCATATCTTCCTTATAGAAAACTTGAGGTTTGAAACGTCTGGTAATGATGAAGTCTGTGGTTAGTTAGTTGTTCTACGTAAAAAGTAAATGCCTGAATCCTACCCTTAAACAGTCACTCATGGTAAGGTGTATCTGCCTCCGTATCATCCAGTACACTAGATAAGCCTTCAGTTATTTTTTATAATATTTATCGTGCTGGATAATTACAGAGATAGAGATGCTGGAAACTCTGGATTTTCCGTTTTGAATAATGAGAGCTGTCTCCTAATGTGAGTGACGTGGCACTCTGGGAAGTCCTGGCAGAGCTCGAACTTGAATACAGTTCAAAACGAAGTTAGTTTTATTTCAGTTTATTTTATCTCAGTAGGGCGATCTAGATAACCTTGTTTTATGCTGCTGTACATAAAATAGAAGTTGGCTATCGTCTAAGATAGTATTTATCTGCCATAGCCAAACTATCACGTGCTATGTTTTGTTGTTGTTGTTGTGACTGAAATAAAAGTTTTTGTTACAAATGAAACAACTGTGTCTATTCACTGTTTCTCCTGTTATTGTGGTCTTAATTAATATATTTCCTATTTAAGTTTCACCCGAAAAATCTCGTATATATATATATATATATTTATATATAGATTACCGCGTTAATTTCTAGTTTTCACCTCACCAAATAAAAAAGCATAAGGGACCTAGCTTGTCAGGCGAAGAAAATGCGATAATCATCGCTTTAACTGCCTGTATGAAATAAAGTTTACTATGTAGATTTAATCTAATGTAATTGTACTGGACGGCTTCAAAAGCTAATGCATATCTATTTATATATATATACATATTAAACCCGCTTTTAGGTAGAATAAAGAAAAAGGGCGATAATTTTTAACTATAAAATGGTACAGCGAACTCGTGGCATAATTTACTCGGTGGTGTGAACTCGTCTTGTTAGAGATATATAAAGCTTTCGGCTTGGTACGCAATTCACACTATGTGTAAAACATTTCTACTGTTACGTCTCCGATTGTTAATTAACTTCCCGT